TTCACTTTGGTAGTTTAAAACAGGCTATGGTGGGAAATCTCTATGCTGAAACCAGATGAATCAACAAATGAGGGATTTCTCTGCCCACTCCTGAAACTAGTTGTTATATACTTTTCAGCATACTGATGCGGTAAAACTAACCATTGTTGGGATAAGTAGACAGCTGGGAGATCCTTCCTGTTGTTTCTCTATTCCTTCAAGAATGATTTTTAGCTCATAAGCATGTTATAAATCTTCTCCAGATTTCTTTGGTATTTTGTTTTGTTTTGTTTTTTAATGTGTGTGGTGCTGGGGATCAAACATAGGGCTTCACATGTGTTAGGCAAACACTATGTCACTGAGCTACACCCTTAGCCTCCTCTCACAAGTTTTGTCATGCAGATAGGCTACTATCACAAAGTACTCTTGTAACCCAAAGGGTTATATGTCTTATACTAGTACTTCAGACTTAAGTAAAATGGTTAATAGAGAGACATAGCATATAGGAGGGGTGTCTTTGTCACTGCCACTATAAGGTCTTGGTTCTCAGACTTGATGCAGTCATTGTTCCTGACCTCGGCTTACTATTGAATTTTAAAATCATTAGAAACTCTTGGTCCCTCAATCTAATTGTAAAATTCAAACTGCATTTAAAAAAAAAAACTCTAAAAAGTCATTTTTGCTCTTTGACGTGTGTATTTTTAAATGGCAAGTTTTAAAATAATAAATTATATGGAAAATGGGATGATAAATATCATTGCAGCCATTTTTAGAAAATACAGTCACTCAAGACTATAAATAGAAAAAAAGACTAAGTAATTGTATATTTAGTATATGTTTGAGGCCTACCGAGTGCTGATTCACTCCTTTTAATTCTGTGCTTCTACCAAGACAACATTGTCATGGCCAGTACATGCATGGGCTACAGGTAATATGAATAACTTGAAGAATAAAGATAGATGTTTCTATGCTAGAACATTTGCTCCTTTTAAAAATCAGCTTTATGGAGGTAAATTTAAATACATTAGAAGTCACAAATTTTAAGTGTGCAGTTACATGTGTTTTAACAAGTGATACAGTCATGGAACCATCAGAATGATACAGAACATATCTATTAATTCAAAAAGTGTCCTTGTGTCCCTCCCCTTCCTCCAGGACCTGGCAACACTGATCTTCTTTCTGTCACTCCAGTACTTTTCTAAAGTGTTTATGCAAATTAAATCATAAAATATGATTTGGGTCCTTGGGGCCTGGCTCCTTTAAGCATACTGCTTTTGAGGCTCATTTCAGTATTGTATGTAAGAGCAACTTGTTCCTTTTATTGCTGGTATTCCTAGCATGCTCTTGTAAGTCTGTACCACAGTCTGCTTATCCATTTAGCAAGTGATAGACATTTAGATTGTTTCTACTTTTCAGACATTATGAAAAAATCCTTCAGCCCATTGTAATAAATACCAAGAAAGTCTTCTTTACTGCCATCACTTTTGTTTTGATTGGTAAAATATGGCTAACCACAAGTTTGGTTAAAAGATGTTATCAGCAATACATGGTGGTGCACACCTGTAATCCCAGCTACCGAGGAGGCTGAGGCAGGACAATCCCAATTTTGAGGCCAGCCTAGGCAATTTAGCAAGGCTCTGGCTCAAAATCAAAAATAAAAAGGGTTGAGGATGTCCCTCAGTAGTAGAGTAACCCTGGGTTCTTTCCCCAGTACCACAAAAATAAATCATCAATGTTTTGAGTCAGAACTGACAGAAAACCAGTTGGGTGTAACTGGCTTAGCTATCCTTCCCAAGGCTCCCATGCCCAGTTAGAATTGATCTCTCAGTTTTCTATCCTTTGATAGTTTTTTTCCTCTTGTACTACTTTTCTTGGTAAACATTTTACCATCTGCTATTTAATCTCTCTTTCTTTCTCTCTCTCTCTCTTTCTGTGTGTGTGTGTGTGTGTGTGTGTAAAAATCTCCATTTTGAACTCCCTACTAGGGACAAGAACTAGGTCTTATTTATCTTTATTTGACTCAATGTCCTGCAGAGTGTGTTTCACATAATAGTCATGATAAGTATTTAATGGATTGATTTGAATTCTTCTGTAGTCCTTTCCTCGGATACCTAAGTGATTTATATTAATTCTTTTAATCCATTGTTGCATTATCTCTAGAGTATTATAAAATAAGTTTCCCTGAATAAAAATATTTTTAATTCTACCTTTGCATTCACTGTGTAAACTCTGAGTGCATTTTAAATTCTTTGTGGTCCTCACGGTGGTAGTTGTTTTTGAGCTATAAAGTGAGAGGATTTGATGAAACAAATTTGAAATTCCTTTCATTTCTAATGTTCAGAGGTTTCATTTAAAACTTACCAAGCCAGAAAGAACCTGCAAGGAGAGGGAGCAATATAGGAGGGAAGGGTAGGTGGATGGAGGTAGGATATTAGAAATATATCATGGTTGTATCTTATAATAAATAACATGCGTAGTATATCAAGTAGTGTGAAAATTGGGGAAGGATTCAAGAAACACAAGGTGTAACAACATTTGTTGGTAGAGGGGTCTTTTACATTGTTTTATTTTATAAAGAGAACTACAGTTGTGACAGTTCTTTTTTTTTAGTGATTAGGCAGCTTCTCATTCTAAAACTTGATGGTTAGATTTCACAATCCCTGTATGTTGAGGAACTGTAAGTCCCAGTTTGCAATGGGTATTCTCAGATATGACCATTAAGTTGATATTCTAATTAATAATATTCCTTTTCACTCTTAAATGCATATTGGTTTTGGACAGTACATTTTATGGTCACCCAGTTATTAGGGAACTAAGATCCTCAGGTCTCCCTACCTGTAGCCCCTGCTCTAGCTGGAGGTCTGACTTGAACATGATCCAAGAGACCATAGTACCTTTTAAACTGATTCCTTTAGCAGGACCATCTCTACTTGGCAAAGCCATTCTCATCTAATCATTCTTTTCTAACATCTCTGAAAAATGTTCGCCTCCTCATCTGAGACTTAGATTCTCCAGTTTCATTTAAAGACTGCATTCTTCTTCTATCCCCATGTCAAGGGTGTAAAAACATTCAATTTTTAAACATTCACTGCCCACTTCCTATGTGACAAACACTGAGCTGGACTCAGGGTAGAGCATGACAAAAGGAGACAGACATGTAAACCAGTAATTAAAACGTGAAGGGTGCCAGGTGTATACAACATATATTGAGGTCATAAGGGAAGAATAGTTTACTTAGGAGAGAAAGATGGGGAAGAGGAGGGAAGAATTTTGAACTAGGCCCTAAAGGAATAGTATGAATGATACAGGGGGATTGGATGGGTGGGCCGGGGGCAATCCAGGAAGAGAAAGAAACATTTGCAATGATCCATAGCCAGAAAATGCGTGGTGTGATGGGAAAGGCAAAAAGTAGCCTCGTCTGACTATCCATTTGTTGCAATATACTACTTTGGAACTGAGTGTGAGACAAGACCTTGGACCACATCCAGGGGGGTGTTGTTGTTAGAAGTACCAGAAGGGACCTTATTTCACATTTAGCATGGACCCCTGATGATTCCATTTGAGTGAGGTGTGGGTGTATTTTCATTCTGGAATTTTACACTACAACATTACCACATGCATTGACCAACTTCAATGCAGGCTTTCCTTATGTTGCTTTATAATTAGAAGCCAGTGAATTGAAGTTCCACAGCGGTACATAGACTGGTAGTGATAGCTTTATGGAATTGTTTATTTTTAGTTTGGCAAAGGCTAGTCAGTAAATATCTCAATTAGTAAACTAAAACAGCATGGATGAGAAATGCCCACAAGGAGATCAGAAGATAGAAATAACTAAGTCACTTAATTGAAGGAAACCCTCATAACACTCATATTTAGAGTTTGAAGAACCAATGTAGTGTGTGTGTGTGTGTGTGTGTGTGTGTGTGGACACACGTGCATGGTACATATGCACAGTGTCTTCATCTGCAATGTTGCAGTAATAAGGTTCTTTGCATTGCTTAGGTTCTAATCGTTCAAGAAGTTTCTTTATTTAAGAGCCAGTGTAATTGGATGTTGACCTAGTAGGATAGGTCAATATCCTATCACAGTGGGATGGGATATTATCTTTGACTATAGAAGCTTTTCATCCTGTAGTTTCTTTCAGTGTGACCCAAAATAAATTTTATTATGAAGTGCTGAGGAAAGTTATTCATTTTCAATTCATATTTATATTCACATTATACGGCCTGATGTGTGAAAATATTTAATGAAAACATTTATGCAGTGCTATAGAATCATTTACTGGCCTCTAGATAGTCTCCTGTATTATATTTGAGATTCCATTTTAAGTTTTGGAGGAAAACCAGAAGGGGCCTACAAAGCTTAATTTTAAGAATTAAGATTTTGATTGTCAAGCATGGTGGCATTCGCCCCTAATCCCAGTAATTTGGGAGGCTAAGGCAGGAGGATTACAAGTCCAAGGCCAGCCTGGGCAACTTGGTGAGAGACTCTGTCTCAAAATAAATAAAAAATACTGGAATGTACATCATTGGTAAAGCACCCCTGGATTCAATCCACAGTGATACAATAAAAAAGAAAAAAAGAAAAACAAATTTTTAAGTTTTTCTCAAACTAAAAATTAAGTTATTACTATTGCTAGAATTCCAAGATCTTCAGGAAATACTGACCATTCAGAGGATGAAAGATTAATTGACAGTGCAAGTGAGAATGTTACAAAAGAGGGGGGGGAAGGTATGTGTACTTTAAAGTTACAGTTATACAATATCTTTATTCATTTATCATTTTATTTTAATTTTTAGAACTGTGTCCTTTTGTGCAGATGGAGTTATGGTGTGTATTCATATTGTATGATAGGTCCGTTTGAATTGCCCCCCTTCTGGGGTGGGGGTTCTGTGGAAAGATTGTTGTCCTCTTATGCTTCACAATTTACTACCTATGGGCTCTCTATGGTCCATAGGGGAGTGATGGAGGTCTGTTGATCTGCAAATTACATTTCTGTATGTCTCCTTTCTGTTTTGTAGACTGGAAAAAGATAGCATTCAGCAGAGCTTCAGTAATGAAGCAAAGGCCCAAGCCCTTCAGGCCCAGCAAAGAGAGCAGGAGCTGACACAGAAGATACAGCAAATGGAGACCCAGCATGACAAAACTGGTAGGTGGTAAGGAAAGATTAGAGCCTGGGCACTCGCTCACAAGCCAGGCCCACGCCTTACTGTGAAATGACATCAGGAACACCTGTAACCTTTGGCTGGCCGAAGGGAGCAGATGCTAACTACACCGGAGATTCCGAATTACATATTAGTTAGCGTTTAAAAGAGAAAATGGAAAGTATTGCCCACTGTCTGTTGATTTCAGAGTGCTGCTCTCACATCTGTTGCACCATCTGGATTATGAGTTTATTTACCTGTGTTCAAGAAACGTAAAGCTGAGAGAGACCACAACAAAGTAGAAAAACAAAGGGCTTGTTTTTGGCTGGGTTTTCAGGCACACATGTTATATAAAGAAAATAGCATCAGAAGCTCTGCGGGAAATGCTCTGAGCTTACAGTTAGAGTCTCCTGAATAGCATTGAACAGTTCCCACAGTACACACATTATAGCTACTCTAAAAGCCTAATGAGTTTGCTTCAGCATCCAAACTGGAGAAAAGCTTTAGCCATTAATCGGTTCTTAATTCACTGTCGCAGCTGGATGTAATTCAGTGGCTCCAAATTGATATGTTCCTTTATTTAATCTTTGCAGCTTCGAACATTTTTAGCATTTGTATGATTTCCCCACCTCCCCCAATCCAATCTAGAGTGATGTTTAATCCTTTGCATTCTTCAAGTTCTCACAACTGCTGTTAAAATTCACTAATACAAGGCATTGACCACAGCTGGCAGCTTGGCTAAAAATTGCCATCTTTCATCACATTGGCACTATTCTGCAAACTGAGTTGGCCAGTAACTCTTTACCTTTAATTTGAAAGTAAAATGCACTTTGAAAATAGGCAGTTTGATTTGTTCAGTTGGAGCATTATGTAGTTCCTTTCACTTTTGAGTTGTGTGTTCACAGACAGTGTTAGTCAAAACAAGACAGTGTCAGTCATTATAATTCCACACCACATACTCCATGCTGATTGTACTATTAAAACAAAAGTTTAATTGATCCTGCCTCTTCCAGAAAAATGTTGCTTAATTTTAGTGCCTTGATTTATTTTGCTTTGTGTGCTATATGCTTTTTGCCAATCATTAGCTAAAATTAAAAAGGAATAAAGGATCTATCACAACTTACACTTAGAGGTAATTTTCACAGGATTTAATGTATAATGTATTTGATGACACGGTACTAAATTATTTCCTGTCTCATAGGTGGAAAACCACTATCATGAAATTTATTAACTTCATTAACTTTATTAAACTTATTAACTTATTAAATTTATTTACTTATAAAGAGGTAAATGTCATATTGACTCACAAAATTCCCTTCAGCACTTTTTCAGTAGAGATTTTCTTTTCACTACATTTGGCCAGAAGAAATGAAAATTCACCAGATTCATGTAAATCATGTCACTAAAAACACAGAGGAAATTATAGGATAATTTATTGTTGGCCCCTACTGCTAGCAGGCTCCTAATGATTAAAGAGTCTTGGGCAGAAATTGAGCATTAGATAAGAGTTTTTAAGCTGTTAAAACCATCTTTAAAACACTTCCATTTATTTTGCACACTCAATTTCTTTGACCAAATCTTCATGGATGCACATACTGTTGACAATAAAATCAACATTCTAAGGAAAATCACATAGTTTACCTTCATAATTAGGAGAAGTATATCCAAGATTCAAGGGGGAGGGTGTGAGTAGTAAACTATGTGCATAAATGCGAAACATAAAGCACGAGTTTCAGTGTAAAAGAGAATTCCTCGATTTTAGTTTTGAATTATCTGGTTGTGAGAATTTTGACACTGTTTGTGGTAGCATTGTCAAAATAAAAATATAATATCTTGCATATTACAAAGATATAAGCATCTATGACTCCACTTGAGGTATTTGACAATTTATGAACATGCTGAAATGTTACTCTAAGCTGATATGATCAAAAATGTTACTGGTGTATAATTTTATTATGAAAATAAATGTCTCACAAGATTTAGTGTCTTACCAGTTGACAGGTCCTTTAATTTAGGACATTGAAAGTATTCTAGTGACTTCTAGGAAATATGTAGTGAGCTAACGCACTTTACCACTCTACATATGGAAAGCCCTGCAGAGCTACAACTATAAACATCTTATGTTGTTGGGGATTTATTGTTATTTCTAGAAAATGAACAGTATTCATTGCTGACCTCCCAGAATACATTTTTGACAAAGTTAAAGGAAGAATGCTGTACATTAGCCAAGAAACTGGAACAAATCTCTCAAAAAAGCAGGTAGGTAATGTTGTATAATATTTTCAGAGCACTGTTTGTTTGATTACTGTAATTTTTCTTAAAAAAAACCAGCATTTTTACTATTATAATATAATATTAAAATTAGTTATCTGTTGATAAGTTTTCTGTGAAAATATTTTTGTATGTTTTTTCTTAATTGTTCATATAAATACTTTAATGTTTTCCATTATTTTGTATACATATTATTATCTGACTTTTTTAAAGTTTAGTATGAAATTTCAGAAAACAAAGCTTAAGATAGTAATTATTCTAATAAAGAATGCAGATAAATCAAGCAGTTTAAAAATCTTATGTTGATACAGCTAACAAATTTTAATCTATTCTATAATTTTGTACAAACACATACAAAAAACCTATCTTTAGGTCAAATAATTAGGGAAATTGAAAAGACAAAGGTGCTTCATGTACATTATTTAATTCTCACAACGGCTTGAGATAGGAATTATTATCTTTTTTTATAGATAAGGAGACCAAAACTGTGTAACTGGTAAATGGGAGAGATAAAGTTCTAACCTAGATCTTTCTGGTTCTAAAGTCTATATTACAATAATTATAATATTTTACATCTAGTACTTAAGAAACCTCAGATTCAGTGGATGTGGTGGTTCTTTCTACCTACTCCAGAGGCTAAGACAAGAGAGTTACTTGAGCCCAGGAATTTGAGACCAGCCTGGGCAACATAGCAAGGCCCTATCTCTTAGGAAAAAAAAGAAAAGAAAAGAAAAAGAAAGGGGCTGGAGCTGGGGCTCAGTGATAGAGTGCCCCGCCTGGCATGTGTGAGGCACTGGGTTTGGTCCTCAGCACTACATAAAAATAAAATAAATGTATTGTGTCCACATAAAACTTAAAAAGTATATATATTTAAAAAAAAAGAAAAAGAAAAAGAAAGAAAATTCAGACCACAGTGGTGATGGGGAAGATTAGAAGGAAAAGATGACCTTTAAATTTTCATGGAGAATTGCTACCCTTCCAGCCAAGGTTAACCTGTACTCTGTGCCTGTTGGCCCTATTTTTCCTCCTCTAGATTAATTTACCCTCTACAAGTCTAGTGAATTTAAACCTTGGCTCTTCTCCACTCCTTTCTTCTTTCAGCTCCTGACCTAAAGTGTTTTCCTCTGTATCTGACACATAGGTGGCACCCAAAACATATGAATGAATGAATGAAACAAACAAATAGGTGGGTTTTTACCCCCCATACCCTGATACGATTTCTGATATCTACCTATTCTTTTGTGGATGGCAAGCAGGGTGCAAAAAAGAACAATTTGGAATTCAGAAAGAACTAGATTTGAGTCTTAGTTTGTCACTTAGCTGTGCAACCTTGAATATGTTGCCAAATCTCCCCAAAGCTCAGTTTCTCCGTCTGTAAAAACATTTCCAAAATCATGTTGCAGGATTGTTGTGGGAATTCAGACAATATATATAGAAAAGCAAACATACTTGCATATACTGTCATCCCTCAGTATCCAAGGGGGATTGATTCCAGGACCCCTTTAGATACCAATATCTGCAGATGCTCAAGTCCCTTATATAAAAAGGCATAGTATTTGTATACAACCCACATAGCATTCTCCCATATACATACACACACACACACACACGTGCAAATCACACTGTTAACATGCATCACACACACACACACACACATACACACTCGTGTTTTTTCATTGTTGGGGATCAAACCCAGAGCCTCACACATGGAAGGCAAATACTCATCTCTGAGGTATTGCAAATATTATAGAGCTGATTCAAAATATAAAAGAGAGAGATGTGGCCCTCTTCAGTATGCTTTGATTCATCTGTATAATACTTGCAATGCCTAATACATAATATATAAATGTAATGCTGTGTAAATAATTATTACACTGTATTGTCTAGAAAATAATGACAAGGAAATTGTGTCTTTAGGACAGACCCAACATTCTTGTCTGTGGTTGGTTGAATTTGTGGATGCAGAACCTACAGATAAGGAAGGCTTGGCATGTGGCAATACACACTAGCTGCTATTGTGTCACTGGTGGCATTGTTTTAAGGGTCTTGACTGGTAAATCGGGTAACATTTCACTAGCTCTTACCCTTGCCAGGGAAGTTCTGAGTACCTTTTCTGACAGATATAATGCCAGAATCATAGTGAAACCCTTTTTAAGAGCCAAGCAGCATTAGTAAAAAGTGGATCTGGTTGTGTTAGAGGTCAAGCTTTCGCACCTGGTTTGGTAATATTGTTGGATTAAAATAGTCACCTGTTTGTAACTTTACAAGTTAATTCAAAAATAAGGCCTGAAAGTTAGTAAACACTTGGTGAATTGCTATGTAGTATTTTTAAAATTTTAAGTGCTCACAAAATTTACAAAAAGTGCATTTTGTGTGTTTCACAAGAAAGTAGTAAGTAGGATAAATTGTGATTTTTGGTTTGTCTGTTTGTTTGTTTGCTCTTAAGTTTCTCCTGGATTCCTACTATGACATTTTCAAGAATTCATTCTTGCCAAATTTAACATTCCATTTTGATGTTACCTTCTGCTTTAAAACCATCTACAGAACTTGAAGGCTCAGAGTATTTCTTTTTAAATAAAAATTATAAATGTAATAAGAACTGAAGAAGCGCTTGATGAGTATGCTTTGCATACCCTGTTCCAAACTTTGATAAATAATTTCCCTATACTTTGAGATGAGAAAAAGCCTGGAGTTTCTAAAGTTTGGTCATTGTGGAGTCTGAGTCTCCACAATAAATATCTAATCCATATGGTAATTTTGATCCCAATTTTCCTCAGAGTAAACTTTTTCCTGAAAGTAAGTGTATTTATTTTGTATCGATCAGTAATTTAAAATACATATTTTTAACTCTCCTTTCCTTACAGCAATATTTTTGAGTTTTATGTTATTCAAAATGCCATAAACAAATGGATTCCTATCATTTAAATAAGCTTTTTTACTCACAAATCTCATCTTTTAACAAGAGCTCATGCAAAATCGCTAGAAAAGCTGAAAGCCTGGGCTCCTTGTGCCCATAAACTCTTACTCTCTGCTTAGCCTCATGCTGGGCTGCTCTGTGAAAATGTTTTGAAATGGTATCTTCGTGTGTGTCTGTTGTCTGTGGTTTCTCCCCCAAGTAGACAGTAAGTCGAATTATAACAGTGCGGATTACTTCTGTTCTCTGGAAGCCTCCATAGCGATTTGCACACAGGGTACTTTCTGCACTGTGTGTATTCCACACTGTGCACGTAGTGGTGTCTGCAAGCCCAGGGTTTGTGAATGGCACATCCCATTTTAAAACTAAAAATGAAATGCTGATTCTGTAAATTTTTTATAGCTTGTTTTTGACCATCAGGCAAGAGGATTAATTCCATTTTGCTTTTAATTGGCACCAGGCAGACATTCTCGCTGATTTTAGTTGAAGCTCACATAAACTTTAGTTACCCCTTCGGTCTGTATTCCCCAGTACTCGGAGAGCTTCTTACAGTTATGGGGTTGTTTTTGAAGGAGGTAAAGGGAGATATTTAAATATCTTGGTAAAACTGTGATCTTTCTTTATCAAGTGAAGGAAGTGTTCCTTCTCCCCAGGCGCTTAGATGAATAAGCAGTAAAATGTTAACAGTGCAATTTGCATTGCGGATTAAAACCTGGCCAGGGAAGAGCTCAGAAAGGTGGACGCTGGCTGGGAGTGAGTCTCTGCCAGCCTTGAAGTGCATATGATATATGCTGGAGGTCAGCTGTGTGCTAGGGCTCAGCCTTTCTCCCCTTGAATGCTGAAAAGGACTGAAGAGGGCACAGAACCAGCATCTACGCGGTTTTGCCTCTCTTCTTTCTTTTCCGTCATTGTCACTTTCTGGGTTGCTAAGCTTGTGGATTGATGTCTAACACTGCCCATTGTGTATTTGTGATTTGCGTTTTGTAATTAAGAGGAACAATGGGAGTCCATGGGGTCTCGTTATATATAATGGTTGGTTTAATTTGTTTCACTTCTATCTTGTTAATTGTAAATTGATCATTAAGATTTGAATTCTAATCTGTCACCAGGGTTGTGAGTATTGAGGCTAGAGCAATGATCCTGGTTTTAATCACTGATGATGAGAAACAAATTTTATAATTTTGGTACATATTGCAGTTCATATATTTTAACACTATATTTTATGATGTTATAAATATTGTTAAATGACTTTTAGTGTAGTTTTACTGTGTGGACTATAATGTATAAATTATATTACTGTTTTGGCAACAGTAGGTATCCAACTGTGTGAGTTTAATTGAAGTAAAGAACACACACCCGGTTGAACTGTTTTTTTCCTCTTGCGTGTTTAGATGATGTTAGGTTGGGATACCACAAAAATTATGTTCTGCAGGAGGAGACTGATAGTGGCCTTCTGCTGATTATTACCAAAAGTCAAACCAGAATCTGAAAATAAAAAATGAAGATGTCATATTTTCCTTTTAAAAGCAATTATCCTTGTATTCTAAATTATAGTAGTAAAATATCTTATATTTCATGCAAATGCACTTACATAATATAAATGGTATGTAAAAATGCAAGGCAAAGTTTATGCTTCCATAAAGCCAAAAATTACCTAAATTTTCTATGAAAATGAACTGGAGTCAATTATCCTTTTATATGAGACTAGGATAATCACACCACAAATGTCTCTCTAAATTAAAATAGAAACTTGTATGTTTACTCTTTGAACTCTGCAGTTTAGTAGTTATATGGCAATATCATGAGCTCTACATAGGTAAAGGATATGCACATACACATATACCAAATTTTTATTGAACAATGGAAATTGCTATGCAAATTACCATTGTAAGTAAAGAAAAAATATAAGAAATATTCAAAGCAGAAAAAAATTGTCATAACAAAGCATGTTATGGAAATATGTGCTTTACAAATAATATTTTTATTTTTATAATTATGTAACACACCTTCAGTGTAGGAAATTTGGAAAATACAAAGAAGAATTAAGGAAAAAGAATTCCTGAGCCATTAGCAGCCAGAAATAACTATTATATGCTTTATATCCTTTTGACATATTTCCATTTAATCATTTTCCATGTGTATGTAAATGTGTTATGTGCATACACATTTATATTGTGATTGAGATTATGCTACATGTACATTTTGCATCTGCTTTTCACTTAATATCTCATTAATGAACATTTTTCTACATCAGTAAATACTCTGGAAACAAAACTTTAATTGAATCATTTGTATGCATAATAATTCATTAGACATTTAAGATGTTTCCAATTTTTAGCTATTCTGAATAATAATGTGACAATAACTTTGTACATAAATCTGAATTTTTGATGATTCCCTCAGTAGAGATGCTTAAAAGGGATTGCTAGTCCAAAGACTATGAATCCTTTCAGTGTGTGTTACTTTGCTTAAATATTACACTAAATTCTCCTCAGCATATATATAACCCATCTGAGTATGTGACATTAAAAAATGAGAGATGAAAAAAAAAAAAGAGTGAGAGGCAATATAGCACAGTGGGTAGAACTACCTACCCCTTTAGAGTTGGATAGACTATTATTTGTATGTGAGTCTGGCTATTTGCCATTTGGGTAACCTTAGGCAAATCATTAAATTTTGTATATACCACATGGAGAAAAGGAAATGAACAATTACCTTATAGATTAATTGAGATCACTAAAGTAAAGAATGAATTTCACTATCTGGTATAGTCATATAATAAATTTTTTATAGTAGTATCTGCTTTTATTATGAATTTCTTTGAATAAAAATAAAAGTGAATATTTTATAAATATTTGTTAACTATTTATGTTTTTCTTCTGTAAATATTTTTCATATTCCTTGTACTTTCCTGAATTGTAATTTTGTTGGAGTGAGGTTAGCACCTTATTTAAGTACTATAATCAATCTATTGATAGATTTCCAAATATTATTGATAAGTTTCCAGATATTGGGTTGTAGAGCAAGACTTTTTTCTAGGAATAATGCTACAATAAATATTCTTACACCAACATACATTTTTCAAATATATGATTTTTATTTGTAAAAACTTTATATTTTATATTGTAAAATCTTTTGTTGTTGTTGTTTTCTTCTTTTATTTTATTTTTTTATTTTTTATTTTTTTTTTATTGTTGGTTGTTCAGAACATTACATAGTTCTTGATATATCATCTTTCACGCTTTGCTTCAAGTGGGTTATGAACTCCCATTTTTAGCCCATATACAGATTGCAGAATCACATCAATTACACATCCATTGATTCTTCTTTTAAAAAGTGCCTTTTTGCTTGAAAAGCACCTGAGAATAGATTGTTCTTCTATGCCTTTTTGTGATCTGGTTAAAGATCTTTTTTCCTTTTGAAATTTATTTTATGAAATGATAGAATATACTAATTTTGGAAGAAGTACTAAATTAAAACTGCCTTCTAGATTCTTTTATATCATATGTGATTTTGAAAGGAGAAAAATAAGTTGTTATTAACTCATTTAGACTATTTCAAATATGAGTAAATTCTTATCTGGAAAAGCAAATGTAGATGAGTACTTGATCTGAGCTTGAAAATGAGATAATCCATGGTCTCATCTATAATAGGAAAGGTGAGGTATACAGCACAATTCAAAAGGATAAATTACAAGCTAACATATGCATGAAGCCTAGAGATAATCTCAAAAAATATGCTGATTTATTGAGAACTGGAAGGTATTAATCTGGGCAAATTTCCTTTGGGCTGACATTTGAACCAGGATGAAAGCAAAGTAAGGATGAGGTGAATTAAAAGTGAGAGATTGTTCCATACATGTGAAATGAACAATCTGAGATGAGGTTTCCCTTAGCAAATCCAAATCCTTTCCCGACCAGAAAAAAAAAAAAAAGACTATTTCACCTAATAGAGGAATCCTTCCTTTGGAAGAAATTAATTTTGCACCAAAAGTCTGTAAACTTCAGGAAACAAACTAATTGTTAACCTGGAAAGTACAAATATTATAATATATAAGAATTTTAAAGTTCCAATTCTAACTGATAAGGTGCCACCTAGCAGGTGTGAGAAGATGGTGGCAGTGGGTAGTGACTTAAAATTTAATAAAATGAGGACAGGGATATAATTTTCCTTGAATATATGTCTTTTTTGATCTTCAAAGTTTGAAACTTGAGATCATCATCTAAGATGCTAAAAATAGCATATTTCCAGAAGTACATCAGTTATCAACAGATGATATATCTGTGATCCCAATGAAATTCTTTAAAGCAGAAAGGAAATTGGGATTATTGTACCTGATTTAGTGCAGTGGAGAAAGGTGAATCTTAAGTCTTTACAGTGGGGGATCCCTGTGTACAAAATAAAGTGATCTGCTCTCAATTTCAGGAAAACTTGGAAGATAGGGGCTGAAACCAAAATTGACAATTCCACCTCCACCCTGTGCAGCCAGGTGACTGCCCCTCCTCCACACAGAAAACTAGGGTTTTCCTCTTTGAAGAGATTAAGCCCAAGAGCTCTGATTATAATAGGGCGCTGAAGTTAGAATAGAGGGATTCAGAAAAGGTATGCATTTTGAAAGAGAAAATCTTCACCGCAATTTTCACCCAGTTCCCAAACCACAGAAGTCAAGGTTTCACACAAGAGCAAGAAACGCAAAGTTCCTTCTGTTGAGAAATAAAATGTCAATAGTGAAAAGAATGACATATTTATTAATATTTGGGAGTCTCCTATGGGGAAAGATGGCTTGACATTCAATCAGCCTTTTCTAAAAGTACACTTGTTTGGAGAAAACAACTGTACACAAGTGTACATGTAATCATAATATACTATATTGGAATGCAAAGACCAATATTTAAGTAGTTTTTATAATGTTAATACTGATATTATTACTGAAATACTGGTAATTGCATTGGAAGCTGGGAAGGAGGCATATAAAGAGTCTCATCTTCATTTGTCATAGGTCACTAGAAGTTTTTCTTTACTGATAAAACAAGAGTTATGGAATGAACACACCTACAAATATAGAGATAAACACCAGGAAAAAAAAAAGAACTTTACAAAAACTAATAGTATTCATCACTGCTTAGTTTGATTGAGAGGTCTCCGGGCAGGAGACTGCTGTTTCTCATTATTAGGCCACTTAGAACTTGTATTAATTAGGGTTCTTTAGAAAAACGGAACCCACAGGATATCTGTTGATCTACCAATCAACAGATCAATCTAACTCTAAGTCAATCTAAATAATAGGGAAAAAAAAAGGTTGATTGATTTAAGAAATTTGTTGCTACCATAGTTAATGGAGGCTAGGTAAGATTGCAATCTTCAGGATAGGCAGGCAGGATGGGGAGCCCAGGAAGAGATGTGGTTCACGTCTAGATGTCATCTGCTGGCAGAATTCTCCTGCTCCTGACAAGTCAGTCTTTGGAGGAGTCCTTTCCACATTATGGAGAATAATCTGCTTTATTCAAAGCCCACTGATTTAAATGAATCTCATCCACAAAATACCTTCACAAAAAATATCCAGAATAATGTTTGACCATATATCTCAATACTATGGTACAGTCTAGTTCATACATAAAATTAGCCATTGCAGAACTAGTTGATTTTTAACCGTATACCATTAAATTGGCTATATTAACTAAAATAAACTTTTATAGAAATGAGGTATGGGATTACTTCTGGAACAGCTTGATAGCGGGGCTACAGGAAGCACTCAAGAAATATTTGTTTGATGAATTCTAGTCTTTTTTAAAAAAATATTTTTATTTGTAGATGGACACAATACTTTTATTTTATTTATTTTTATGTGGTTGCTGAGGATAGAACCAGTGCCTCACAGGCAAGTGGTCTACCTCTGAGTTACAACCCTAACTCCAAATTCTAGTCTTTTTATAAAGAGAGTTGATTATTATCACTTTTTCTTATTCCTTAGAGAAGCCATTTTATTGGAGTAAGTTATATTATTTCTGTAGAGACTTGAGTCTTTACAACGCATATATCCCCCACTAGCATTTTGAAATTTCTGAAGTATTTTATTTTACATCAAATAATTTTAATTACAAAGTTATGCTAACGTATGATTTTTAAGATAATGTTAAGATTATACAATAAAAATATGCTTTATTTTTAAGAACATTTATTATTTCTGTGATTTTACCTCTTTAGATCTGAAATAGCTCAACTCAGTCAAGAAAAAAAATATACATACGACAAACTAGAAAAGTTACAGAGAAGAAATAATGAATTGGAGGAACAGTGTGTCCAGCATGGGATAGTACATGAGACAATGAAGCAGAGGTAATAAAAGTTTAATAGTATCTGATGTGCCATATTTTGGATGTGTTTGATTCACACAGAGGGGAATTTTGAAATATGACTCAAAATCTAATACTTCTGTGTATTTATGCTCCCTCAATTTAAGTTGCTCTTATAGAGAAGAAGAAACATTTCCTTATTACTATTCTCTATATACCTAGAATTAGATTTAATATAGAATAGTGGAGAAAATAGTCTTTAAAGCCTGAGTTGATAATATTGTATTATGGAGAAAATTCAAAACACTTCTTCTAAAAATTAAGTTTTATATGCTTTTTATAAGATAAAGCATGTAGTAGTCCTAAAGACATTAAATATTTTATGAGAGGTTGTGTTCATAGTACTAGAATCAGGATTTGACTCTAAACCCTTTGCTTCTTTCTAGTGGTGTTACTTTAGGCAAGTCACTCAATCTATCAGAGGGTCTGTGTTTTCAACTCTGTATTGATGCTAAGAATGCCCACTTTGGTAAAAAATTTGAGTAAAGCGTCTGACTCATAATAGCCACCAGTAAATGTCATCAGCAATTATTTTCTTCTTTTTCTGGGTGAAAAAAAAAAAAAAACAGCTCAAACAGATTAATGGATATTCTTAAAGTCACAGACTTCAAACTTGGATCTTGATCTTTTGACCCCAAACTTCTTCTTTTTTTTTTTTTTTTGGACAGTATTGGAGTTTTATGTTTGCTTTCTTTTGTTTTTGATAGCAAACACAGATCCTTATTGTGTTTTATGATACCATTTCTAATTTCTGTGTGATACGTGATTTCTCAAGAATAAAAATCTGGATATTGCATATCCAACAATAAGTTGGTTTCTGCAGATTTGGACTTTTATACAACAATCAAATAACAACAGTAGTCAGCCTTCCAGTAAAGATCATTTTCTTGGTATCCAGCTCTCCATCGCTACCCCATCCCCCCAGCCACACCATGCCTTCTGTCTTTCAAAAATAGTTGATATAATTTAGAGAAAATTGGGGCTGGGGATGTGGCTGAAGCGGTATCGCGCTCTCCTGGCCCGGGTTCGATCCTCAGCACCACATACAAACAAAGATGTTGTGTCCGCCGAAAACTAAAAAATAAATATTAAAAATTCTCTCTCTCTCTCTCTCTCCCTCCCTCTCTCACTCTATCTTTAAAAAAAAAAAATTAGAGAAAATTATCCTACCCCCTGCATAAACCCCTTTTATTTTTTAATTTAAAGTAAACATAGCATGGAGGGGTAAGATAATTTTATAGCTTTAATTGCTATATTGAATATATGAAAAGCAGTAAGAAAATAGTACCACTTTAATCACTGAAATATTAAAGTACAGGTATATCTGCAAATAATCATTCTTTCTTTCACTTGTTAAAATAGTCACTTAAGCCTAGCTAGCCCCTGTTCTAGGCCAGGAGTCAGCAAACTTCCTATAAAGGTAGAATGAGTAATTATTTTAGGCTTTGCAGGTCACACAAGGTTTCTGTAATAGTGTTTTTTGTTTTTTAGACCCTTTAAAAGGTAAAGATCATTCTTAGCTAGAGAACAAGTCAGAACAAGCCAGACATTTGGGCCCATGGACCTTAGTTTTGCTCCTTTATGAGGCAACTAAAGCATATTTCTAATATTTATTTTAAAATTGCTATATTTCTTTACAGTTCACAAAATGTACTCATGCATATTATCTTATGTATCTTGAGGCAAACCTGTTATTATCATCTCAATTTCCAGATGGAGAACTAAGGTTCAGAAAGATAAATTTGCCAAGTAAAGGTCAGAGAGCAAATTAATGACTCATTCCTTCAACAAATATTTATTGATTGCTACTATGTGTAATGTTCTCTACCACGTGCTGATACTAAAATAGCAAAGTAGATATGAATTCCATTCTGGTGGAGCTTACATCTTTACAGGGAAGGTGAATATTGACAGAAGAATTTCATGAATATCAAATTAATTACAACAATGATTTCATAAAAAAGCAATATGCTGTGTGGTACAAGAACACTTAATAAATGGTCATATTCTGATTAGGAAAAATTTCAGTGAGAAAATAACACTTAAATGTGTAAAAGATGGGGTAGGGATTATTAGTCTTCTAAAAGAGGAATTGACAATCTTTGCCCCAGCCCATAACCTATTTTTATGGCCCAGAAACATACTCTTATTCATTGACCTGTTGCCTGTGGCTGCTTTTGTGCCACAATGTCAGGATGTCAGGGTTATAGTAGTTCAGTCAGTGAGTCGTCTTGGCCCACAAAACCTAATATATTTAATTATCTGGTCCTCTCCTAAGAGAATTTGCCAATTAAAGACAACTATAAAACTGAAGATTCTGACATAGGAAAGCATGGTACTTTGGGGAAACAGAAAGAACTGTGTATTCATCATAAAGAGTGACATGTGATGAGGTTGGAGACCTACAGGCATGGCCTTTAAGTTTTTGTTGTAGACTTTTTATTTTATCCTGTTACTAATGGGAAGAAATAAAAAAAATGTTTTTTAAAAATAGAGGTGAATGATGGGATCAGATTTGCATTTTAATAATAACCCAGAACAGATAATGGATTAGCGTAGAACCATAGTGATTATCTAAGATCAACTAGGGAGCTATTAGAGTTGTCAAGTGATGATGGTGGTGGTGGTGGCTTGGGCTTGATAATAATGGGGATGAAGAGAAGCAAATAGATTGGGAAATTACATAGGAGCTAGAATCCACAGGATTTAATTAATTGGCTCTTGGTTGTGGAGAAGGAGAGCATGTCAAGAACCTAGCATGAGCAAGGAGTGTCTAGTGATGTTACTTATTGAGAACTAAAGAACACTTCAAAGAAGTAGGTTTGTGGTTGAGATTGCCTGGGTTTGGAATAAGACCAAGTGTTAAGTTTTCACCATGTTGAATTTAATGTTCAAATGCATTGTTCAAATGGATATGTTGAATAAGCAGGTGGACTTAAAGGGGAAAACTAAGGATGTAGGTCTGGGCTGGTGATAGAAATCTCCTTTGGTCTCTGAAGGATATTCCAAACTTTGGGAATAAATAAGGTCACCAGAAATAAGCATAATAGGAAGAAAGAAGGACTTATTGATCCCAAGAAACACCAACACTTTTAAAGGTAAGGTAAACATTGAAAGAAGAGATTGAGACAAAGCAACCTGAAGAATAATTAAAAACTTAAAGAGCTTGTTGTCACACATATGAAAGGATGGAAATGCCTAGGGAAAAGGAAGTGATCAATCAGATGCTGCTGAGTTAAGTTAAATAAGACTGAAAAGTATCTACTGGCCTTTGATTTACAAGCACATCACTGGTTACATTAACAAAAACAATTTTAGTTGAAGAGTAGGTGGATTCGAAACCAGATTACAGGAGTTGAAAAATTAGAGTGAGTTGAATATCTGAAATAGCAAATTTAAACCACTTTTTTATGAGGTTTGGCTGCAAAAGAAGACAGAAAGCAAGAGAAACAGAGGGACCAACTGTTGGTGGAGGCATATTTTGGAAGGACCATCTTAAGGCAGGGAATTTTTTTGATTTTAAGTTGGAATAAATGTAAACACATTAAATTCTGACTGTAAAGATCACTAAAGATGTAAAGATCAAGATTAATTAATGATAAGGAACCTCTTGTGTCCACATAGGCAACCTAGGGAAATCATGATAAAGATGGCTCCCTCTCCCATTTCTATTTTAAAATAATTATTGATTCACATATTTCTCCCTGGAAAACAGAACCCTGTGAGAGCCCCTCAGTCTATCAGAGTAAACAAGGCCTCCAAGTTCAACATTCCCTTGAACACTAGTGTGATCTCATCTGCTCTGTACTGTGTTACCAACCCCCAGCAATCCTATGTGTTGTGTCAGTTATATAGTTCTGCATAGTTCTTTTCCTTTTATGTAGTAATGTATTCTTTAAATGATATATGTATATAAATCATTGTCTAGAGTCTTAAAGCTTCTGATTGCAATGTAACAAACTCATAATGAATTTAAATTTGAATATTCTCCTATAAACAAGCCTCAGGATGATCTTTACCAAATCCACACATTTTATTTTTTAAAGAATAATTTATCTTTTTAAATTTTTTTTTTTACTTACCAGTGGACCTTTTATTTATTTATATGTGGTGCTGAGAATCAAACCAAGTGCCTCATACATGCTAGGCAAACACTCTACCACTGAACTACAATCCCAGCCCCAATAATTTATTCTGCAAGAGCCAGTATTAACATACAAAATACATATTGACTTTTTTATAATTTGACATTTTAATTTTGAAATTAAGACTTTAGTTTAAGACTAAGATTTTTAGTTTCAAAAATAATGCTTGAAAATAGAAGGCTGACACCTTAACCTATATTTTATAATTTAATAACAAAAAGAGAAAGCCACAAGAGTAGCAGCTGAATTAAACATTCAAAAAACAAAAAAATTATAAAAGCATAACAGAGCTATTTTTGTTTTAATTCTATAATATGGGTTTAATTTAAAATCTACTTTTGAATGATAAAACATTTATGCTATTGGTCAGTTATATGTTTTTCTTAACACTATTAACACAGAAAGGACTTAATTTATTAAATGAAATTGTGGCATTATTTACTAAATAGGAAAGTTACTTTCAAAATAAATATCAAATTACAATCTTTATATTTATCCTTATTTTAAGTAAAATTATTTTACTAAATTTTCCTCTTTATCATATATAATAATGAAGTGATTTAATAAATTTCTAAGGGAGTTCATAGAATTGTTTCTATGAAAGGGGTTCCAGAATGAATAGGAATTTGGAGATGCTGGTAGAGAAAGGCAATGATACAAGATTACTGAAAACAGAGATGGGTTGGGACACCAAGCATTGAGCCAGGGATTAATCTTGGAATAGGAGAGGAGCATCTCTTACACTGCAGCAGGCAAAAAAGAGAATATGAGCTTATACTATAAGTAGAGACCAGAGGTAGCATATTCTGTGTTTACCAGGCATCTGTTTGGTGCCTGT